GGAAACCATGCTTTGGCAAATGCGTCCCTACGCCTACTCCAACTAAAACGAGCACTCCACCTCCCTCAAGCACTCCACCTAAATCGACCACTCCCGCTCCAACCAAGACGTGCAGGCCTGCACCCCCTAAGAACTGCATCGTTGGAAACGACCATCCTTGCAAGACGCACTCGACCTGCAAGCCCACTGAAGCGTCCACCCGAGGCAAGCCGTGGAAGGGCCAGTGTATTGCGGAGCCGACTGGGGGCCGCAATGGCAAGAAGTGTGGTTGTGATCGGGACAAGGACTGCGAGGACTGGGAGAAGTGTGAGGATGGAGAATGTGAGAATAAGGAACAAGGTAAAGACCAGGGTAAAGATCATGGTAATGATCACGGTAATGATCACGGTAATGATCATGGTAATGATCATGGTAATGATCATGGTAATGATCAGGGCAATCATCAGGGCAATCATCAGGGTAATGATCAGGGTAAAGGTCCATGGTAGGTGAGGCATGTTAGGAAAAGGAAGAAGCGGTAGGTAATGCGTTGAAAGACTATGTAATGGGGATGAAACAGAAGGGAACGTGGGTTGTGAGTGAGGAAAAGCAAGGGGATGCTTCTTTGGTTGGAATCGTTCCTCCATCCTAATCACTGCTTTTTGCAGTTCTCGCTCCTTTTTTGGTTAGCAGGTCTGTTGGCATGATCGGATTTCTGAAATCAACGTCAAAGTTGTAAGACCTAGTATCGCTCCCAAGAAATTGAAGTAGATAAAGTGGAGAGTTTGAATATATTTTCCCAAATTTCATTCAACCACAAAGTCCATTTCGACAACTGCGGGCGCTGGAGTGTGGCGTCCTTACTCGTGCCATATAGTGTCTTACCTCCTTCTATGCAACTACCAGCCCCAAATGCGAGTCGCTCAACAATGCTCCCATACCCAAAAATATCTAACTCCCAACCGCTGAATCCAGAACGCCGATTGCCGGATGCAACAGCATATATGCTAAGAACGTCGTCGTCGGTGTAGTACAGTGGTAATATGTGTTTTACAGGTCGTCTTCATCCGCATCCTTGCACATCGTGCCTTCTTGCTCAACACGAGAGCTCCCATACGACTCTTTGCAACAACATCTCCCTCCTTTTTTTCAATAGCGCGAGATTTCAAGAATCTCCTTCCGAGCTTATTTCACCTCCTTCTCCAACAACTCCTTCGCCTCATTCACTTTCGTCGCCAAATACGGACTCCCGCCTCGATCGGGATGATTCAGCAACATGAGCGATCGGTGCTTCTTGCGCAGCAATTCCTTCGTTATACCTCGTTCCCTGTGTCCTCAATCATTAGCCAACACTTCTGCGTAGTGTCTAGCCAGCCAAGCGGCAATACATACGGTAATTCCAAAATGAGCGCTGCCTCTCTGCGCGTCATCTTGGGCTCGAACCCGCCCTTGTAGTAACTGCGTCCGAGGGCGCTGCCGGCTTTGCCTGAGCGGCGGAGGGCGACGAGGGCGGCGCGTCCCTAGGACCCGGTCAGTATGTTCTCCGTTGAACGTGTGGTTCCTTGTAGTTTTTGAATATATGTCTGGGGAAACGTACGAAGAAGGCGGTGGCACCGAGGCCTAATGCTATTGCCCACGCCGACATTCCGGGCTTTTGTTGCTGCTGTGCTGATTGCGCTTGCGGTTGCGCTTGGGAGTGGATTTGGGCCTGTTGCTGCTGGTATTGCTGCGCCTGTCGGGGGGTGGAAGTCATTCGCGGCGCTCGATGTGTTTCCTCCGTTGATGCTGCTTCGTTCTTCTTCGTTAGCCAGAGGAAGCAGGTTCCAGCGGCGGCCGCTCGGAGAGAATCTCTGCCGAGGATTTGCCGAGAGCGGGTTTGACCAGGGGGTCGCGATAATTTTTGGTTTCCTGTGCCAAGAGTTCAACGAGTGAAGTGTGGGTGGTTGCCGCCACCTGCTTCTGGACGAACGACGACGACAACGACTGTCATCTGTCGTCGCCGTTTCACACTGGTATACAGTTTGTGCAGGTGGATTTTCGCCGGTTAGCACGACAAGATGAGAATCGAGACGTGTTATTTCTGCTCTGCACCTGGTAAGTCGGAAGTCCGCAGACCACCACCACAGCAGATTGCTAACGAGGGACAGTGTACCCTTCCAAGGGCATCACCTTTATACGCAACGATGCTAGAGCGTTCAGGTTCTGCAAGTCAAAATGGTACTTTTATTATCCGTATCGTCCGTCTATTGGAAGGAAATAGCTGGCTAACGACATGAACAGCCACAAGAACTTCAAGATGAAGCGCAACCCGCGCAAACTGCAGTGGACCAAGAGTTTCCGCCGCGCACATGGCAAGGAGATGACTGTTGATTCAACCCGTACGTCGCCCTCCAGCCATGGCTCGCTCGAGCATCGGTATGGAATTGGAATGCTAACATGGGAACTCAGTGCAATTCGCCCAACGCCGCAACATCCCCGTTCGCTACAACCGCGGCCTCATACAGACGACCCTCAAGGCCATGACGCGCATCAGCGAGATCCGCGCCCGCCGCGAACGCCAGTTCTACAAGGCGCGCATGCGGGGCAACAAGGCACGCCAGCGAGCCGAGGATCGGAAGCTCGTCGAGGAGAACCAGCACCTGCTGCCGCCGAGTGAGAGGTGGGTGGTGCAGAAGCTGGGCGAGGATGAGATGGAGGTGGATGTGGAGAAGGTCAAGGAGAAGGTGGAAAAGAGGAGGAAGGAAATTGAGGAGGGTGTTGAGGAGGAGAGCGAGTTGGAGAGCGACCTTGAGGAGGAGTTGCCTAAGGTGAAGAATAAGAAGGCGTTGAGGAGGAAGGTTGGTGGAGGGGTGGAGGAGATGGAGGTGGATGCTTAGCCTGGGGGAGCAAGGAACGGACTGAATGGTTCAACGGCGATACCTCCTTTTTTTTTTCCTTGCAACAAAAGAGATGCCGCGGAAGGCAGGGAGTTATGGCGCATTCGAACCTGGGGGATGGGTAAGGCTATACGAAATTCCGATACCTACGTCAAAAACTTTCCGATATTCTCGTCCCTCTTCATTCCTACTCCGATGGCATTCCCGATTTTTCTCAACCTCGTTTCCATGCAAGCCTCTCCATGCAAGCCTCTCCATGCAAGCCTCAAGCATCTGCCACCAACATCTAATTGGCTCTCTCTCCTGGAGAAAGCAGATGATGTGAGTCTAATAACGAGGAGTGTAGAATGATATTCAGTTTAGTACATGGCCAGCATCATTCAAGTCTCTTCCCACGCATTCAGATGTCTTTGGGCCTCCATCTACAGCCTACTCTCCTCCACCCCTCGAACCACAAACCCCAATCTCGGAAAATGAATCCTCACATCCACCTCGCCCCTCTCTTTGGGCTGGATCACCACCTCCTCCGTCCCAATCTTCACCAACTTCCCAACCGTAGGATCATTCCTCCCCGTATCATCTGGCGCCACGCTCACCATCGCCCCCGCCACCAACCCCCTCTGCCTATCCAAACTCGGATGCGGCGCCGTCGCAGGCACAAGCATCTCGTCGTCGGCCAAGGGCTTCGCATCCTTCAACGCCTGTTTCCAGGAACTGTCCTTTTCATCGTCGACGGTGGTTTCACGGTCGGGCAGAGAAGCGATGTACGCCTCAAACGCGTGGAACCACTTCCACACTCCAGGATACCTCTCCTCATTAAACACGCCGCTCACGATATCCTCGCCTCTATCACCTGTTCCGCCGCCCGTGAGGTTATATATCCCCCTCCCCGCGGCGATATCGCAACCCCAGCGGAGCTGGTAATATAGCGAGAGATCTGCCAGCGAGGGTTTCCGCGTCGGCAACAGCCATGCGGTATCTTCTTCCTCCTTGCTCGCGGCGGAGATAGAGCCGCTTCTGCCTCCGCTCAGCATGGGCTCTAGGAGGGACAGGTGCAGGTCGAGACGGGATAGGTTCTCGGGGATCTTTTTGGCGAGCTTCTCCGGGTCGAGCGCGTGGCCAATTAGGGCGGCGCGATCGGTGCCGAACGAGGTGCGCCAGACGGAGGGGGGGATGAGGCCGGTTGTACTGCGGAAGAAGGGGCGCTGGGGTGGGTGGGTTAGGGGTCAGTTATTTTTCTTCTATTTCATTTCCTTTTGTTTGTCTTGGATTGCTCGAGATGGAGGAGGAGGCAACTAAGAAGACAGAGGGAAGAGAGACTGGAAATGCTCTTCTACCCGGAACTTACATCGATCCAGAAACTGGCGAAACCTCTCGCTAGTCCGCGGTATATCCACTCATTTTGTAGTCCTTCAGCAGGTGGGTAGACGCTGCCCCAGCCGTCGGTGGAGGGGAAGTAGTGCTCCAGGGCTTCGATGATGAGTGAGGTGTCGCAGTAGAGTTCGCGGCCCAGGGCAAGGATCGGGATCTTGCGGTAGGTGACGCCGAAGGTGTTGTGGAGGAGGGGCCGGGGCATCATCGAAGGGACGGGAATGTATGCTTGGTGATGGGTTAATGATGGAGATGACAGGGCAGAGAAGCCTTGAAGAGAACGATGGGATGGAATTAGCTCAGGGATGGGAGAGATTATATGAGTCTCATTGAAGTGGTATACGAGAGAATATGAGGTGTTGATGATTTCACAAACAGAAAGCTACAATGTACAGAAAGAGGATAAGGTTGCAGTCATCTGCTTTTGAACTGAAATTTAGGGAAACCCGCATAACGATAACCAGGCAGATGAATGAAAGTGTGGAACATGAACTGAAATCGAGAGAAGCGACTCCTTCAATAGAGAAAAACGTAACCGATAAACAAGACCTAATCGAAAGCAACATACTGAACGGAATCCCCTTCAGCCTCAGCGCCAACCGCACCTTATTCGTGAACGGGCTCGCTGTACGAATCAGCAGTCCAATCTATCACCAAATTCTTCGCATACAATCATATCCAAACAAGATGACCGGCGGATGGTCTGTCGTTGGCGGTCCCATTGTTCCTATACGATGATTCGCAACCTTCGGCGGAGGTTCATGTAAAGCTCGAGATGACCTGCCTTGGCCTCAATGACTAGAGCAATAACAAAACAGAACAGCCTTGAGAAAAACGGAAAACAAGATTAAATAGAGGAAAGAAAAGAAGTCAAGCGGGAGTACAGTCACATTGACATGTCCGCTGCTTTCCGACGAATTGCCGATAAATATGCACGCCCTATGCCCTCTGGCCGTTTCCTACGTATTCTGGCCGCAGCCGAGGTCTTGGTGTTGTACGATTCGTTGAGGGTGAGCAAGCCGTTGGGCCGGGTGATCAGTAAATTGCTGCTTAAACAACTGGACCATCATGTCTGGAATTCTGCAGCGATTCTCTGTTGATTCTAGCGTCAATATCTCCGAGTAGTTATCATGTACAGTTGGGGTATGGGGAATTGTGTTTCGAAGAGAGCGGGGAAGCAAGCGTTGGGACCTCCACTAAACTCCTAGGCTCCGAGTGTGATTCCAACGCTGAAAGCAACGCTATTATTTCGCAGTGAAATGAAGACAGCTACCAAGTCCTATAAAGAGCCTCCGGTGCGTGTTGCTTGAGAGGTTTTGGGACCGCATGCGGTGCTTCCTTGACGAACAGCCCCGGTGCATCAGGTCAAGCGTATTTGGACCAGTCACACAATAAGCAGGGTATAACAGTTCTACACTCTCTATTCCGGTACATAGGAAACACGGACTCCTACTCTTTTTCTTACGTTGCGCTTCCGCGCTTACTATACTACAATTCATCCATCCCCATCATCCCAGTCTATGATACAATGCACAGTTCGAGGAGTGGAAATGAGTAGGCAAAGTGCCCCCAGAATGCCGAAGCCCACGCAGACAATGCATGCCACGGCGAAAAGATATGCTAGTTAACCCAAAGTAGAAATCGCAAGCCCCAATGGCCGCGGTCACCGCCGGTCCTCAATATCCAAGCTCCTGAATGCTACTCCTGGTTCTGGTGGGGGCACAACAGGACCCTTCTCATCCGGCGAGCCTGCTGGCTCAACCAGGCCTGGAACCTTGCCGTGCTCGCCACCAAAGTATTTGTGGAAATCCTGCGGGTCTTCGAAAGGTCGGGGCCCGAGTAACCGGATCATGTCTTCGCGGCCCAGCATCTCTTTCTTCAGCAGCTCCTCGGCGACCAAGCCAACTTCACGCTTCTTCTCTGTCAACAGCGCCTTGCACTTGTTGTATGCTTCATCGACGATCCGTTTGACCTCCTCATCGATGTTCTTGGCAGTCTCTTCCGAGAACGGTTTCTTCAAGTTTTGTTCGCTGTCATCGAAGTAGATATAACCAAGCTTCTTGGTCATTCCCCACTTGGTAACCATGGCTGATGCCATGGCAGTGACCTTCTTGAAGTCGTCCGAGGCGCCCGACGTGACCGCATCGAAATGAAGCTCCTCACTCACGCGACCACCCAACGTCATAGCCATGCGATCCATCAACTGATTCACGTTCATGAGGTAGGTGTCGCCCTGGGGAAGGTATTGCGCGTATCCCAAGGCAGCCGACCCACGGGGGATGATAGAGACCTTGAGTAGCGGATCCGCGTACTTGAAGTACCAGCCACAGATGGCATGGCCTGCCTCGTGATAGGCCACTGTCCGCTTCTCTTCCGGCTTGAGCACCATTGACTTCTTCTCCAACCCACCAATCACTCGTTCGATGGCTTGTTCAAAGTGAGACATGGTGACACTGTCGGCTTGACGGCGCGCAGCTACAGAATATTAGCAAGGGAGTCTCAGAATGGCATGGGCTTGAACTCACCTATCAAAGCGGCTTCATTGACGCAATTTGCAATATCGGCACCAGAGAAGCCAGGAGTCAACGCCGCTAGCCTGCCCGTCAGGAATTCCATGTCCTCGTTGGTAACGATCTTCTTGAGATGGACCTTGAAAATCTGGGCTCGTCCTTCCATGGTTGGCGGATCGATATTGATATGTCTATCAAATCGACCGGGTCTGACAAGAGCTCTGTCGAGCATATCAGCGCGATTGGTACCGGCTAGGACAACCACTTGATCTGTGGTGTTGAATCCGTCCATTTCGGTCAAGATCTGATTAAGGGTGGCTTCCCGTTCATCGTTGCCGCCCGTGATGTTACCCTTCGATCTTGCACGACCGATCGCATCTATCTCGTCAATGAAGATAATGCAGGGGGTGTTCTTCCGCGCAGTCTCAAACAAATCACGCACTCGGGAAGCGCCCACACCGACGAACATCTCTACGAACTCCGAGCCGCTGACGCTGTAGAAGGGCACACGGGACTCTCCTGCTGTCGCCTTTGCCAGGAGAGTTTTACCAGTTCCTGGGGGTCCGGATAGAATGGCTCCGCGGGGAATCTTAGCTCCGAGTCTCTGGAATCTTTCGGGGTTCTTGAGGAATTGTACGAATTCCATGATCTCCACCTTCGCCTCGTCGCAGCCGGCGACATCGGCAAAGGTGACCTTCACATCCTTCTCGTGGTTGAATCTCTTCGCTTTACTCTTTCCAACACTGAATATGCCGCCGCCCGCCGCTCCACCTCCACCGCGCCTGAGCAACCAGAGCGTGGGTGCTATGAGTAAAAGAACGGGTGCAAATGACATGAAGGTGCTGAACCAGGAGATCTCAGTGGTATAGGATACCGGTATCCGTTCATTGCTGGGAATGCCCAGTTCGTACTGCGCATCATCCATCTTCCTCTCGAATGCCTCCACAGAGCCTATTGTGAAATAATAGTAGAAGCCACTGCTAGCGGCAGGGGAATCCGGGTACATGGCTGCTACCGCCTCGCGGTGGAGGTGCACCTTGGCTCTGCTACCGTTCACTATTGTGATTTTCTCGACCAAACCCTTGTCTAGGAACGTGGTACGGAACTCCTGAAATGTGATCTCCTTTGAATTGTCGCTATCCGAGTACATCCTCCAGAGAAAGTATAGGCCTAGTGCGATTGCCCAAGGGGGGAAGTTTTTAGGATCCGGGGTGCCACCGAAACCAGCACCGCCTGATCCCTCTACTTTGGGCTTGTCCTTCGAAGGACCTGGGTCTGAATGTGTCTTCTGGGCACCTAGTGGATCCGCCCATCCGTTCTTCTCCGCGGTGTTCTCCTCCGACTTTTTCCCTGCATCCACGTTTTGCTTAAAGTCCATCTCACTGCGCCTGTTTGCAGCATCTTCTGCGAGTTGGTTGGTGAGATTGAGTAATCTCTTCAAAGCCGCCAAGTTCATTTTCTTGCCGTTGCGCAGCTCCTCCAATTCCTTCCGCAGTTCAACGGGAATGCCATTCTCCTTCAGGTCGTTGACCCCTTCATCGAGATACTTCTTCTGCGACCGAGGCAGACCCATTGAGACCAACTTTTGGAATTGCTCCAGTTGTTTCACCTCTTCCTCTGTCAATGGCGACCTCTCCGGCCCTGAATTCACCTCCGAGGACCGGGGACCCGTCTTCTGCTTTTCGCCATTTCGGGCCTTATTATCTCTTGGCTCTTTTGGAGGCGCGGTCGCGAGTGAGCGGGTTCTTTGGAAGGTATTTATTGATTGACACAGCGGCGCGGCTCTCTGTGCTGCACAAGGTATCCGCCGGTACGAGGCGTGGAGATTGAGCTTGTGGAATCGCGCTGCTTGGCTTGATCGGCGGAGCAGAGTCGACATTGCGGGAGAAGGAGGAGGAGGCGAGGAAGTGCTGGTTTACACAACCATGCACAAGCGGAGGGAGGAGTAAGAGGCGCCCGGGATGGCACGATGGGGTGACGGGTTTATGGGCAGTGGCAGCGGATGCAGTCGTCGTCGTCTCGCCGCCGCCTGAATCGTGACGGAAGTCGAGGCGAATTTCGTCCGTCCCTGACGCTGATTGGGGCTAAGCTTATTAAGCATCATCAACTACGACATCACGGGACCAGGTAGTACCCAGCGTACTTTTTGACATTTGAGTTCAGAATTATGTTCTAACTTAGCTCTGTAAGGGTGGGAATTCATAGCTTTACGCGTTTGCCCCCAGGGTTGACACTCGTTCTGTGGGAATACCGGGATACATGTCCTGGTCTCAACCGTAAACTTTGTAAGCATTGCTTCAATAGATACCCAGAACTCATTCGGGCCAACGAGCCTTTCCCTGGAAGACTTATGAAGGACTTGAATATCCAGTAAATGAACTTAAGCTGGGACGCAAATGCTCTGTCCAACCTGCAGCTTGTCACAGTCCACTCCCCCATTACCTTGAAGGGCCAGCAGGCCAGCCACCTCGAGACCATACGCTTTCGCGATTTCCCAGCAAGTGTCTCCTGCTTGGACGTGTATAGCTTTTCCCCCAAGACCGCATTCAACCTCAGCTTCGCTGCCCGAACTTCCACCGTATATGAACCTGAATAAGAGCAGTAGGAAGACTACAGCGAGAAGAGCAAACGGTAGCATCGTCCGGACTGCCTCTCTGTTTCCTTTCCGAATCTGCGCATTGTGGGCTTCGATCTCGGCAGGATCGCGAGGTTCACCAGCCGGTGTGAGAATGCCATAGCGGTTGCCGGGCGCCGACTCATAGATACGGCCAGTAGAGGTGTCTTCGAAGGTGTAGATCTGCGTGTCGGCATCGTATCCGATGCGTTTGAAGTGCTCAGGGAGACGCTCTTCGTCCTAGCCTGGTTGTCAGCAAAGTGAGCAGGTGTACATCCGGGGGCGCTTACGTCGTCGGTGTCCCTAAAACGGCTCATGATGCTATCTTCGAAGGATGCGAAGAGGCGTAAGGTTTCCAGGTAGCTGTCAGTAAAGACAATAAATGAGCACTGAGTTATTGAGTTCTCAACTGCGGAATGTTGCAGCAGATGAAGGTCGCTGAGCTCCTGGTTTCAGGATTCATTCTATGCAGCTGAGCTTTGATGGGGCTGTGTAAAATGTCTCAACTCAGCCTACAAGCAGCACGAATGTTATACGACTGTTTCGACGGTTCCTGAAAGACATGGACCACTCAACTCACTTGTATCTCCCGTTGATACGATGTCTCTGGCTGTCGGCTCGGGCAAGCGCACGTTTAGCTACTGAGCGCTTACCTAAGCGAAACCTTTCCAATTCAGGAAGCGTATGAGACCGAAAAGGTCTAAGCGCGTATGAAAAGCTGGCTGACTGGGCAGACGCAGCACAACGCTTGGAGCTCCATTGACGACCAATTTCCATCCTCAATTGCGCATCGACTCGAGCAGACACCGGCACCATGGGCGGTTCATCCACTTCCAACGTCGCTTCCCGCATCAAGCACACGTACGTCGCCCACCGAAGACGGGTCTCACGCCGGCACCGCCCCTAGAATATGACGCAGAGACTTACAATCGCACAGCTACCACATTGGCGAATGGGGCAACCCCTACGAGGGCGGAGGCCAGCCAGGCAAGGGCGTCGTTACCTATGGCATTAGCCCGAACCGCGTGAGGCCGATGGCTGGCGTTTTCCCAAAAGGTTTCTTCAACATGGTGCGGAGGGTCAGGAACCAGTTCCTCTACGTCGTGCCTCCCTTCATCGTCGCGTACAGCGCCATGCAGTGGGCAATTGAGAGGTATGGAGATCGGAGGGCAACTTGGCAGCTGTGGTCTAGGGATCTGGAGCTAACAGACAAAACAGGAACGAATACCTCAACTCAAAGGCTGGCCGTGCAGAGTTTGCCGAGGAGGAGTAAGGAGCTGGATTGCGGAAGTTGGACGTGCGATAGACGATGCGGAATAAATAGGATTTGGACGTGGCGGAAAGCGTTGTGACAATAGGAGGTCTGTTACGAATATGTTCGCATACATGTGCACTATATCTGCTCAAGACTCAATACCTCGGCATTATATTTCCTATGTCCTCCACCACCTGGTGCATTGTTTTCAGAGCTCAGATACGCATGTGCGTTTTCGGAGCTGGACTTCCACATCAACTCCATCCGCCATCTACATCCAGGCAGACACCCAGAGGGACTCGGACTCCTCTATATCTGGACTTACGACAGGAGAATGCTTCATCTCTAACCAGGCAGACCGGCACGTACCTTAGCAATCATATCTTCCTACTCCAGTACCTACTCCCCTCATTACGTACCAGCTCTATTTTTGATCTATATGTCATACGAAGCCTTCATATCAACCTTCTCCAAACTGTCCACCTCCTCATTCGTCTAATTCCCCATTCACCTGGGCAACATAAACAACGCCAGCATCTCCGCCGGAGCACCAACATGTCCCAATCCCTCAACACAGATCGAGTGCAAGACTCCAACCAGAACATTGGATCCACCATTGATGAAAAACAGGAAGCTGGTCAATGGAAAGCTGGAACGAGAGCATGAGTCGATGAGCGAAAATGTGGAACACGTATTGCAATAATACTTGAGCTAATCTCGGGGTTCTTAATTGGGTCTTTTGCAGGTAAAAGAAAAGAGGTATTTATTGCACTGCTGTGGAAAAGAGAATGGGTGTTACCAGTGATAGAGCGTCGTGTTGATGGATGTCCGTCTCGTGTTTATTCCCACATTTGGAATTGGGACAATCCACGCATGGGTCTCTGGAAATAGCCTTCGTCATCGAGAAAATCGAGGTCAAAGCAAGGCATATCGCACAGACAATGAGAAATCGCAGTATATACAGTTTTCCATTCATCAAAAGCAGCCATGCTGATCACCACCAGGCATATGCTTCATAGCTCATATCACATATATACAACCTCGAAGTTTAACCATTTTCCTTCCTCCACCGCCTTCTAGCAGGTCGACTGGCCGTTAGCGGTACCGTTTTTATAGGCACCAGTGGGGTCACCCAGGCATTCAGCTATCATCACCGCGTCAGCAATCGCCCGAGAACCATACGTACAAGAAGGGATAAAATAAGGGTCGACATACCAACAGTGACAATCTTCAAGTTATTCTGCTTAGCCCAGTTGATCAACCAGGGCGTCAGCGTATTCACCGTGCTAGCATACGTCTCATGCATGAGGGGGATATGCCCATTGCCGCCCGCGCCCGCCTGCTGGAACCGCTGCTCGCTCTGCTCGGCCGTCAAGCCGTTCCAGTCGCCCGCATCCACGTCGTTGGTGATGACGCGGTAGCCGAGCTGCTTCATGACGGGCAGGACGTTGCCGCCCGTGGCGAGGTAGGGGGGACGCATGTACGTGGGCTTGACGCCGATGATGTTGACGAGGGCCTGCTCGAGGCGCTGCATCTGCTGCGTGAGCTCGCTGCTCGACATGGAGCCGAAGTTTTGCGGGTGCGACCACGTGTGCGAGGCGATTTGGTGGCCGGCGCGGTAGGCGTTTTGCAGCGCCGTCTTTTGGCCGTAGATGCAGCCTGTTTTATACATGTTAGGGAGGCGTGATTTCTTTCTGAGGGTGTTGGAATCGTTTCATGCATACCGTAGAGAGTACCGGTCACGAAAAAGGTGCCCTTGGCGCCAGCGGCCGTCAGGGTGTCGACGAGCTTCTGCGTGTATTGGTAGGGTCCGTCATCGTAGGCCAGGGCAATTTGTCCCGGTGCGGCGCACTTCTGGATGACCTTTGCATTTTCTTAATTCAACGCTCTCTCAAGGGTAGTATCTCAATATACCTTTCCAGCCTCAGGTCCAGCACGGCGGATCATCTGAATAGGATCCAGAATCGGGATAGCAGTTCCAGTGACCGCCAACAGGGACGTCACAAACACAGCCTTGAGACCCATGATGGAAGAAGTTGATACGGCGGTAGTGAAGATACAGGGAGAAGCTCAAGACAATTCCTCTTACCCCGGATTTCTCGAGTCCCTCCCATCTTATATATCAATTCTCGGACACTAAAATAGTCGCGTGTGGGTCTCTTGGTGGTTTCTGGGGAAGATTAAAGTGTTTCTTGGCCCTTTACCTGGGTTGATCGAGCTCCCTTTAACCGGGGGGCCTTGTAGCGCTGCCGTAGACTTGGAGAGACTCTACATTCTTGTCTCCAGCTTGATTTGACATTTAATGTATGAACCGTTGCTTCCCAAGGGTTGCTAAGGGTCTCTTGAGCGCCTGTTAAACAATATCTCCTGACAGAGGGTTGAGCGTTTGTTGTACTGTGAGGGTATGTTGGGAGTTCGTTCGCACGATCGCCTCACGATCAAGTGTCCGGTAGTATATTCACGGCCCTAAAACTGCCCTTCGTCCGATTGCAATAATAAAACAAGGACCGCGGTGATGTCAATATCGCGATGTTTATGCTGCCGGCGGTTAAACGGGTTCGGACCAGGGATACAGCCACGTCGTGGTCAACGACAGATCATTCCTGGTTCTCCACAGCTTTACATATGTGGAGCCGATGCAGACCGTTGTTTGATACCTGGACAGGCGAACGAGAAGTTGTCGAGTAGTGTGGTACAACGACTGTTCTGCAAAGTATGCTGGTCCGCCACCGCCGGAGATGAAATGCTGCCCAAATGAGGTGCGCGTGGCGACGAGGATCCGGTGGGATGATTTGAAACAAAGCTAGGAGTATGGGCTTCGATGGTGCATCCCAGATTCCGGAAGCGAAGGCGCGGCCTGGAAGTCTAGAAGTTCGGTACCTGGAGAGCTCAGACTGTAATGGCTTTTTTAGAAAGTTCTTTAACGATAATGTCAGGAGTGCAGGTGTCTGCCAATCCTCCAAGCGCATATAGTACTGAAGTATAGGCATGACATCCACTCCAAGGGTTATACTGAAGTCGAGAATTTTTCATCGTATTGGACAGAGAATAAGGCGATAATACTGTACTCCCTAGAGGTCCGAGTGAGCCAGCTTCTTGAAGCGGTATACCCGCTGCGCTCCGCCTGGGAGGGATATTAAATCGTTCAAGGGGCTGTTAGACATATAACTCTTTGATGTGCACCATTCGGTGGAAAGGGGCGAGAATTCCCAAAGGTCGAGTATCTCGATCGAGCCGTCAAGGGAAAATCTGACCAATACCCATTCCTCCCAGCAAATTCGACCCTTGGATATGAATTTCGACGCCAGCAGCGTCCGGTCCTTGAAGGACGCGAACCAGCTGTCGACCGAGGGGAGTTCCGGAACCCCCCATCACGTGTAAAGCTACTTGGATGACAACGAACCGAATGATGCTGAAATTAACGCCTCCTGGCTTTTGGGAAAGTCGTTCCAGATTGCTAATGATTTCTTGAACAGCGAAACTTCTCAGGAACTCGTACTCGAGCGACGGCTCCAACCCTTGGCGGATGTCCAGTAGACAGATATACGTTGCATTATACATCATTTGTGTACCCAAGCTGCGGCCTCTAGTTTGTTTCAGGCCAACGTTGGTGGGCCATTCGGTGCGGATTGAGTCGAGCGCCGATCGAGCGTTGTCGATTTGTCGCAACAGTGACCGACGGGCGTTGGGATCATTCGACCGGAGGACTGCGTCTCGTGCGGCAATAAACTTGGTGCAATCAGCGAGGATGGGTAGGATGTTGTGCCTAATCCGGCCATCTTGGTCAAGTTGAAGGGGCTGGAGGTGCTTCCATTCTTCCTGAGCAAAGAGAGACGGCCTTGCGACAAACATCCCACTCACTATCGAAAGAGTCCGTAAACCATGGAGTATCACCAGAGTCTCTAAAGGTATTGGTGCAGCAGGAGCCCCTCGCAACTTCAACATGGTTTCTATCCCTTGCAGATGCTTCAGGAAATGGTTCGGTCCGCTGGGGAAAAACAACTCGCGTAGGGCGCAGATCAGGCATGTGAGAATCGTGCAATCCGATAATCTCAGATCGGGCAAATCGAGGTGTTCATTCAACTGGCGTAGGACCTTTCCGTACATTCGATAGCTTTCCTGCTGAATGTCCATTGCGCTATGTTTATGACCGAAATGTGCGATAGCCAGACTGATGAGCGAGTCACGGAGCAGCATGGACCCGCGATCGCCGTCAGTGTTCACTTGTCCTTGCCTTGAAAAGGCCATTTTGCAAGCTATATCGATGGGACCACCTCTGAAAAGGGTTTTATGGGCGTAGGCGAGACAAATGTCATCCTGGAAGGCGGAGAGGGAGAGCTGCACGGGGGGTTCTGTGGCGATAGTCCGAACATCTTTACTAACGACTTGGAACGATGAAGGTATAGTCTCATTGATGAAAGTAGACTCTCTGGGGCCGTCGCAACTAAGTCCTCTCTTGTGACAACGAATACATATCGGTCTGGTCTCGTCTGAGGAACAATGGTCAGTGAAGGCTGCCGAAGGTACCTGCACCAAACGAACCGCATTTGATCCGTCGACGCCGGCAGTTGGTACATCCTCTCGAACGACCTCCTCGAGCTACCATTGCCGTTAGTTAGCGTTCCGTGTACCGTTCTGTTTTTGACGCCGTATCGGAGGGCCTGCTGGGCCGGGTTCTATCTCCATGACAATGAGACGGGAGTGCGAAGGAGGAGGTCTAAGGCATCGACAACTTGGCCTCTTATGCGGCTTAAGCCCTGCTGCCCTGCTGGACTGTGGAAGGAGGCTGAGTGGTGAAGGATGCGTAAGCTGTAGCGACGAGGGTGGCTGAACTATTTGATTGGCCGCTTACTTCAGATCGACTCTGCTTGCAGTTAGCGCGGATGGATATGAGGTGCCAGGCTGACAGCATCAAGACGAAAGTAAGGAAGAACACAAGAACATAGGAACATAAGGCGCTGTTGCTTCATAGACAGAAGTTGTAAGCCAGCTGGACGCTCCATGCATGTGTAGATGTGGAAGACGAAGACGAATGCGGTTGTGATGGTGTCACGTGGACCTGTGGCGGCGCATCAAGTCGGGCGTTCTAGCGTGGTTCTAAGGTCGATATGGAGGGATGAGCAGTTTTGACCGTGATGGTAAGGGCAAGAGTGTTGGTATTTGAGTACTCCGTAGAGATAGAGCATAGCTATCTCTCGCGTGAGTTTCCAATGACAAATCAAATGCAGTCGGAGAACCTATCACTGTAATAATGGCTGCTCCGAACTCGCGAATTCGTGGCATTATCCTGCAATCATAAACCGGGCGACAGTGAGAGAAGATTCGGTGTGTTCAATGTCAGGTAGGTGCTTCAAAGCCTTCGTAATGTGCTGCACCCTGCGGACTCGTGGTCGGATGAGATGTACAGTAGTGTTCAACTATAGCTCTTCCTTCAGCGTGCAGAACGCAATCAGAGCGAAGCAACGAGTCTGCGGACAAGTCAAGTGCAAAGAGAGAAAGTCAGAACAAAAGCAAAAGACGGCGACACATGGGGGAAACTCGAGGCCAGGGAGGCGATCACCGTTGCAACTGTTCAACGGACGCTCCCGGTCGATCGTCAGGCTAGCCGGATTGGTCGGGTCTCGTCAGGCACCTGTCTGCGCTGCGAGGAGACGAATCTGTGTCTGGAGGGGCGCAGCGAGGGGAAGGCGGAAGGCGTTCAGAGGGACGCGTGGTGCTTTTGGCAGAGCCGTGGGCTCGGGATGAAAAGAGGTTGCATTTTTGGATGTGGGCGTGGATTGGTAGACATGGGCGTGGGAGGGAGGAAGCAGGACCATGTAAAGCTGGAGCTCGTCATTGGTGTCGCAATTGACACAAGGGAAGAGGAGATGCAGAGATGACACATAGTATTAACACGCAATAAACCAGGTGCGGTGATGAAAGGGTCAAGACGAGGCGAGCAAAGAAAAGGGTATCCGTCCTTTCTTCTCTTCGTTTCTGCGAGCTTTGACAGTTGAAGAAATCGGGGTGATGGGGAACATGGGATGGAAGCAACCTCTTGAATGCCGCCTCGTGAGCACGCTGTCTCCCGGAACCTATCAGACAGCGCCAAGACTTGGGGCCTCGTGGTAGCCACTCGGCTGGGCCTGAAAATGCCCTGGAATGCTCGGCGGCCATGAGCTAATGGCCGTTACAAACCGTGGGATACAAATTACTACGGTTTTTGGTCGTGAGCTGTCTTCTCCGAAGCACGAGAAAGGCCGAAGAACCCAAGGGGGCGGATTCAGAATGAGGTCAAGGGGGATTGAGATTGCGTCGTCGTGCGACAGGCGGCGAGGGGAGAATCGGTTTCACCCTCAGCCCCGGCAACTGGTCTGCAGAGCGATAGCGGTATCGGGGTTGATGCAGTGCCACCTTTCCTCTTCCATGGCCTGTCGCAGGACGGAGCATGAAGGCATGGGCTGGGTGCCCAGGTTTTTGATGAGTGTTGCTGGAGACAAACAAGGTGTCTCTGCCAATTTGGGGAGATGGGATGGAAATAAGCTCTGGCCGGGAATGTTGACGGATTGATGAGGACTTATCCCCGTAGGTACTACTCCGGATAGTAGGGTGTAATGGTGAATGATGTTCAATTCAGCGCCAGCGCACACAAAAGATGCCGCAACGCCAATCGTCGCCACATCGGAAAGGCGTGATGCTATGCGAGTATCGGTGGGAGGACGAAGAGCCGTCTGAAAGGTGATGGGGGATGGGAGAGAAGGGCAGTTGACTAAGCCGCCCTATTTATCTATCGAACCAATCACAGGCGGCGGGCGCAACCCCCACAAGTTGGGCAATGGCGATGGCGATAAGGGAGCGAAGGGAGCGTCACACAATTGCTGCTTCCCTTTCTGGTCAGATACAGCAAGCGCGGCGCCAAGGGAAGGACTTGGAGTACACACCGCATGTCTGACTGACCGCATCCTTTCCAAGTCTTTTCTCCCATCTGCGAGCCGAATTGGACCATCACCGACAGGTCAGTCACAGAAAAGTACCGAGTACTACGGAGTACTTGTGGCTCGTGCCCAAAATTCCATCTAGTCTATCAGACTTTCGTGCGGGAGAGCGTGGGGTTTGCAAGGCAAGTATAATCCGTACTGTGTGCCACGCCCTCATTCTCATTCTCAACCCCTGGATCCCGTCGATTGGCCGTGGCGCTCCTTCTCGAACTTGACCGACGACGCCCCTGTGCTCCCGTGCTCATCCCGTTCCTTATCGCCCACCACCCCCCAGCTCTGACTTGTGAGTCCTGCCAGATACGCACACACCGCGTCTCTCCCACCACGCCCCTCCAGCCAGCCCCACGACCTCTCTCTTTCTTCGGCACAGTCCCCGGCCCGTCATGGCACGGCTACGCACTCCCGCCGTGCCCCAGCGCGGGAGCTAGCCGTCTGCTCAAATACTGTCCTGTGGAATGAGCACCGAGTACCTCGCTGTCCGGCCCTTCCTCACTCCATACTCTCACAGAAACCCGCTTTCGTCTTCCTCCCCACGGCTCTTCCATACCCTATCGGCTTGTACTCCCTGCATATCTCTCTGAGCCTCCACTGCCTCCACTGACCGCCCATGCCTCAGTCGGGCCCAGCACACTGGGTTTGAGCGCTTGCCAGCTATTCTCACTGCCTTATCTCTCGCCAGGCCTCAGCCTCATTCTTATCCGCGGGTCCCTTCTCTCTTCTTATAATTCACTCAGTCCCCCTTCCCCGCTGAATTCCCCTCGCCTACCTATCTCTCCTACCCCTGTCAGTCACAGACTCCACTACTCTTCGATATCCCCCTTCAATCCATTCCATGAACTGCATACTCAACCTCCAAGAGCCGACCACCGACCAGCACGACAGGTCGTTTCCTGATGTTCCATAATAATAATTCGCAAGCTTCGGTCCCTCTGCCAGGAAGACCAACCTCGGATGACGATGCTCCCCTACCTCGAGGAGAATGCACCTTTCTCGTGAACGAGTCTGATTCCCCAAAGGGCTCTCGCCAGCGATGCTCATGTCGGAGTTTCTATCCCGCCGACCCCGTAGTCCGCTCCACATGCGGGTGCGGTCATCAAGCATGGAATCACGAGGCCCAACCCTTGTCGACCGTGACCATGGAGGAGTACCTCTCCGTGATCGAGGAGATGAAGCGCCTGAAGCACGAGCTCAAGCGCTTCGAGCGCCTGGAGCAAGAGTTCTACAAGGAAAAAATGCTGAGGGAAGAGCATCTCCGGACCCAGCAGGCTGTTGAGCAGAGGATGTATGAGAACATGCGATTACTCAAAGTGACAATGGACGACAAGGTGGAGGCTGTGGTCGACAAGACGCAGGAGTTCAACGACCACATCAAGGCGGTGCAAGAGAGGTTGACCATGGTGGATGAAGTGACGATGGATCTCGAGAATCGGCTGGACCGTTTGGAGCACCACGAATCGTCCTCGTCGAGAGAGGGCACGCCTGGAGTGGCCACTCCCAAAGCTGCCCCAAAGGCTGTGCTGCAGACACCTGCCGTCCCTCCACTGCCTTCTCTTCCTCTGGTTCAGCATTCTCTAGGTCAACTTCCCATTCGTACAGACAAGAAGTATCCCTCATCGTGGAGTGTGCGGGTGATCTTCGTCCCTCGCAAATCACTCAAGTTCGCTTATGATCCCGACAGCAATGGCTACCGTCGCTGCGCCTCGCGAAAGCTCCACCAAAACCTGGAATTCCCCAGCCAAGACAGCTCATGCTTTGCGAATCGGATTGAAAACGCCTTCAAGGGCGTGCTGCGCGGTCGGCCTTGGATGCCAATGATTGGCCACCGTCCGGCTGACGAACCGTTCGGCCGGATGGCTCTACAGCTGCTTCCAAAGGAGCTTACTCTCAGGACGGTGTGGGACTACCCATTCTTGGAGGATCACTGTATCGCACATGACAAGATGCAAGGCGACGTGCTCTATGTCACCCTGCAATATGAAGACATCACGTGGAACGAGATCCGGCTTTTACCTCCCGTGGTGGGCGCCGACGAATCGTGTTGGAGTCACGATGAAGAGTTGGATGGCGCCTCCAAGTACAAGAGCCTGGACTCTGAGATCATGTACGATTATCCGGACCCTCCGCCAACCTATTCTTCTCGAACTCACTCTTTGGCGAATAGGCATTCGCTGGTGGAAAGAGCGCCGTCCAAGCTGGAAGTGCTCGCCGACTCGGCCTCCATGCTTTCACACGTGAGCGTTGAACGCGTCCCCACCCACTCTGCCCATTCCGCACGGTCGGCCTTCTCGTCGGAACGGAGCAGCCTTCGCAGCTTCGAGACGGAGGGGACCGATGACGAGCATTGCGATAAGAAGCCAAAGTTGCGAGGCAAGCAATCCATGCCCGGCATCCACCCACAACCCATCTATGTCTCCGGGCGATCCAAACGGAAGATGCCTGTGCGCGAGAAGGGGGTCAAGGAGCCGCTGCACTTTAGCGTCGCCAATGTCGCGAAATGGCGGCCTACACATATCTTGCATCCGAGCTCCAAGGGCAAAGAGGCAGCGCACGCACAGGAATCTCACTGAGCTGCCCGGGTTGTCGCAGTGTGACGTGCAGAATTTCTTTTATTTGGTATGATTTTCCTGGGCTTAGATTGGCATCCTTACGCTTCCGGAGTTCTTGTGAAAAGCGAGGGATGATGAACGGATACCCACAAGGCGTTTTGTGCTATACCCCTTCATCGCTGGGATCGTGCCCCAATTTCGTTTATCCTGCTATGAGATTTCCGACATTCTAGAGACAGCGTTGAGAGTCTCATTACTTCGCTATCCATTTGGATGCTTGTTTCTTTCTTATCACTCATGTTTTTGGCATATCTACACGGGATAGACTGGGGATCCAGCTTGCTTCTTCCCAGGCAGTCAGGTTGGGTGCATGTAGCGCTTACGCGAATGTAAGAATAGGTCGCTTCCGTCATATCTATGACTTTGATATCAACAAAGTCTCGATAGCATGACTCCAGGTCGGACTGACTTGTCAGATTACTGCTACTCCTCACTTATCGCACGCACACGATCGTATCAGTGCCTTAGCGCAACCCCGCTATACCCCCTTGCCACCGCGGGGACCCCAGAGCGGTTGAAGAGCTTCGGCAGTATGTTCCGGGTGCCTCGACTCCTTTTCAAGGCTTATCGGGGCCTTGGATAAGAGCGTTTTTCACTGACCGCTTGTTGGGTGTGGATGCGTCCATGAGGGAGTGCCGGAGTCTCCTCTTGAAAGGGACGGTGCTGACATACTGATAAGCGATTTCGAAGGATTCTGTGTGACCTTCCAGTACCCGTTGTGCATTTCTTGTTTGGACTGGTGCGTCCAAGCCGGGTCACCGTCTGTCTTCCACTGAACTTCACATTGAGACGTTTACTTGTACAGTCGCAGTGGCATATAAGTTGAGCAAGCGGGCACATGAGCAAGGCGCTGCTGGTTCTGTATGCAGTCCTTCATGGCTGTCAATATCATCCGGCATATCACCCCGAAGTGCGGGGAAGCTTGATATAACCACAGTATAAGCATGCCCGAACCTGGATTTTTAAGACTATTATACTCGCGCATTTTCCTGGTTTAGATTCAGAGGTAGATGGGGAGGTATTGAATGGTGCAAAGAAAGATGGGTTATCTGCAGATCGCTCGCTGACTTGGAGCCTTATCGCAGCGGTTTCGCAACCTGTGGTAGACTAAGTCATTTGCACGCAGTATTTATCTGTCAGAGGATCCCGCCATACGTTTGCCATGATTCGCTCGAAGCAGACGCCGGCTTACCAGGTTGTACTATGGAGTTACACTACAGCGGGGGTGATTCGCCCTGCATAACGGTGATCACAACCGCTGCAGTTGGACTCACGAGGTTTCATCGCCAGCTTACTACACAGTACTGCGACTAGTCGGATATGCACCGGTTCTGAATCTGCGTACATGGTCTGACCTCTCCCCGCCCATCTGACTGCTCTCTAGCTGTCCGGTCAGCCCCTCATCTTTCGACAGGAACCATGGAAACTGTGAAGGATTCCAACATCATTGACAGAGGGATGGAGGTACCTGTCTCAAAATCATCCTCCAACGACAGCGAACCCGCCGTTCTGGAAGGCCAAGGCGAGCATCTACCCACCTTCGAACATGAGAAGGCCCTCGCTCTCAAGTTCGACCTCCGGATCCTGCCCATGCTCGCTCTCATGTACATGTTCAATGCACTCGATAAAGGCAACCTCGGCAATGCGAAGACGGACGGCATGGACAAGGACCTCAACTTTAAGGGAAACCAGTACAATATCATGTTGAGCATCTTCTACGTGCCGTATGTCCTCTTTGCGCCGCCGATCGGCATGCTCGGGAAGAGGTACGGGCCGCATCGCGTGCTGCCGATTATGATGTTTACTTTCGGGAGTGCGACGCTGTTGAGTGCGAGCGTGAAGAATTGGGCGGGCATGATGGCGTTGAGATGGTTCTTGGGTAAGCCATTTCTGAAACCAGCTTTCTTGTAGGACAGCGTTGGGTTTCTTTACATCTGGGATACTCGTTTAAGGGCTGTCCTGACCGTGATCCAGGTATGGCGGAATCAGCCTTCTTCCCGCTAGTCATCTACTACCTTACGACCTTCTATCGCCGCGGAGAGCTTGCTCGGCGTTTGGCCCTTTTCTATGCAGCGTCCAACATCGCAAATGCTTTCTCTGGGCTGCTGGCTTTTGCCGTCTTCCATATCGAATCACGGTTGGATTCATGGCGCTACCTTTTCATCATTGAAGGTTCGCTGACTATTGTCTGTGAGTATTTGCTTCTCGCCTGCATCGGGTAGTGCTCACAGTGATAGTTGCCCTTGTTGCATACTTGTATCTCCCCAAGTCGGCCTACGAAGCCGCATTTCTGAGCGAAGAAGAAAGACGTCTGGCATTCAAACGCATCCAAATCGACTCGTCAGCAGTGGTGGGGGAGAAGTTCAATCTCCGCGACGCGCTGGAAATCTTCAAAATGCCCGCCACGTATGGATTCCTCGCCATCGAAATCTGTCTCGGCGTGCCGTTGCAATCCGTCTCTCTTTTCCTTCCTCAAATCGTGGCTCGCCTAGGATACGACAAGATCAAGACGAACCTCTACACCGTCGCACCCAATATCGTAGGGGCTTGCGTGTTGCTCATCTTAGCTTTTACCAGCGACTACACTCGGCTCCGGTTCCCTTTCATTGCGCTCGGATTCGCCCTCACGTTCATAGGGTTCATCATCTATGCGACCATTGACGTCGAACACTCCCTCACCGTGGCCTACTTTGCCTGCTTCATGATGACATGGGGAACATCCGCACCATCCGTCCTCCTCTCCACCTGGTACAACAACAACGTGGCGCACGAAGGCCGTCGCGTGACGCTGACGTCCATCGGCGTACCGCTGGCGAACCTCATGGGCGTCGTCAGCTCCAACATCTTCCGGGAGCAGGACAAGCCAAAGTATATCCCTGCGTTGGCGACGACGGCGGCTTTTGGAGCTTGTGGGTGTCTGCTCGCGTTGCTTTTGGGGTCGTATATGGTGTGGGATAATGGGAGGAGGGATAGGAGACAGGGGGTGAGGCTGAGTGCGAGGGATGTGAGTACGGAGTTGCTGAGGGAGGGGCCGAGGAGGGAGGAGTTTAGATGGTTTCTTTGATGGGGGTTTTCGTGATGGAAAGGGTGCAGAGTAGGACTTGGGATGTAAACCAGGCGGTGCAATCAGCTATGTAGCGCCTCCGTCTAGGGATAACAGACATCAGAACAAAGCCCCCCTCGTGGCCAAATTACGATGTAGCCAACTAAGTTGCGCTGACCCAAAGGAGAGTTCAGGGGATTGCTCAGTGGGATGTAAAAGGGGAGGATATACACGACAGAAACACGTTACTCCATAAGGCTAGTCTCCCGCCGAGACCGCCGAGCTTCAGCAAGCTTCGATTGGCCGCGGCTTGACTCCACCTCCTATTTGCACCCGGGTAGCTGCTGGTCGATGAGAAAAGGGGTTTCCAAAGGATACACAGTAGGGGGGAAGGAAGAGCGAGCAGATGGAAAGTATAGAATCGGACGTTTGCTATTTGCTCTTATACCAGAATGCCTGCACGAAATGAACATGCGGACGGGGACGATCGAACGAACATCTCGCCTTCGTATTCAGCTCGAGCTTTCAGCTGCATCTATAGGCGGCTTCTAGCCTTCTAGGACTGGCGCCGTCGCGTCCTAGGACGCTAAAATCATCCGAGGTGGCTTCGTATTCTTAGGGCTGGCGATTCCCCTTAAGCTTGGAGAAAACCGTTGCTGCTCCTGACATCCGCTAACGCCTCAAACGCTCCCCTTCTCTCCTGCGTGCTTCTCCTCAAAGCATGCATCATGTTCCTCGTGTCGCCGTCGAGCTGAGTGAGGAGGACAACGGGGCAGAAGTCGGAAGATGGATTAGTGACCTGTCGACTTTGTCCAGTATGACAACCGTGGACGAAGATGTTGTTCTAGAAAATCTCCCAGCTAACGGCTATCGCGTTTTCCATCGGCAGCTACCAGCCGCGACAACTGTGGTAGGCCTCATACGCATCTAACCTCACAAATCTAATTTTTTTCTCGTAGGAGTCTCCTGGCTTTGCGAGTGACACGTACCCTTCCTCGATCTCCGAGAAGACTGGGGGTAGTAACTTCAAGCAACGCCTCGCCAAATATGTTCGGTTCGCTGGGAGGAATTGGAGCAACATCCTGCTCGTCTTCGTTCCGGCAGGTATTCTGGCGCCCCGGCTTGGATGCAGCGATACTGTCGTATTCGTTCTTAACTGCATAGCTATCGTTCCTTTGGCAGACGTCTTGTGCCGAGCGACGGGTGCCGTTTCAAGTCATCTTGGAGAGACAACCGGAGCCTTGCTGAATGTTACTATGGGGAATGCCACTGAGGTGTTTATTTTGTGCGTTCCTTCCCTAGAGACATTCTGGATTTCTTCTGCTGACAAGGAACAGTGCGTAAGATTGTTGAACTATTCATGTGACCAGCTTCTGATACTTCAAGTCATGCTTTGCTGCAGCGTCAGTACATGATAGTGAGAGCATCGCTGCTCGGATCGATCATCGTCAATATTCTTCTGGTACTGGGACTTGCTCTCATTGCAGGCGAGCTTAAGTGCCCTGGGCAGAAGCATAATGCCACTGCTACCCTGATGGCCACCGTTATTCTCAGCCTCACGACCGTGGGTTTACTTATTCCGGTACATATCACCCTTGTGTCGATTCCTTCTCCGAAGCTTTATCCTCCCTCTAACAACATCATAGTCCATCTTGAAGCTTTCGGGCTCTTCCGCTGGGGTAGTACTCCACTTGAGCAGAGGCATCTCGCTAGTCCTCGTCGTACTATATTTCATATATTTGTATACCCAGCTGCGGGCCCCAAACACAGTTTATGCCCCTTTAGGTCAGCTGGAACCAGAGACCACCAATCTAGAGACCTTCCAAGTAGCTGAAATACGCCGAGCCCGCTCATACTCTTACCGCCGCGGGGCTCTCTCCTACCCGGGGGACACCCACCGAATCCTCCCCGTCCCTATCGACGGATCACCATCGTTTCCAGAGCCTAGGTCGCCCCTTTTCCAACCATTCCACACAGCAACCTCGACGTTCAAACACCTAACATCGCTCCCATTCTTCCTGAAATTCATTCCCCCCATCGCCCTCCTCACCTCGACCATCCTCCTCTCCCTCACCAGCAGCCTCCTCGTCGACACAATCGACCACGTCACCACGCACACACCCCTCTCCAAACCCACCGTCGGCCTCATCGTCCTGCCCCTCGTCGGAAACGCCGCCGAACTCGTCTCCGGGATCATGTTCGCTGGCCGCGGACAGATGGACCTCGCGTTCGCGGTGAGTATCGGGTCGGCGATCCAGATTGCGCTGTTTGTGACGCCGGTCATGGTGGTGCTGGGGTGGGCCATGGGGAGGGAGATGGGGTTGGGGTTTGGCGGGTTTGAGGTGGGTGTTTTGGAGGCGAGTGTAGGTGTGTTCGCGGTGTTGGTTGGTGGGAGGGGGGATGGAGGGGGCGGAGGGTGGGGGAAGGGATTGGGCTTGTTGGGGGGATATGTTGGTATCGCGTGAGTTTGTTCTTTTCTAATATTCCCTTTAGTGTTTGGGTCTTTGGAGAGGATGGTGGGAGAGTGCGTGACTGACGAGTGTTAGGGTGTGGAGTTGTTTTGTGCCGAGTTTGGAATGACTGATACGTGGATACTGGATGAAGACTTTCGGGCTCGGAAATGCCGGGCTTGAAGATGAAGTGTTGTGACCTGGAGACTTTGCTGGCGGATTCCCGAAGGGGAAAGAACCGCGTTGCGGCCGGCAAACGACCTCACATCGGCGCAAAATAAGGGAATATCTTGCACAAGATGAAAGATCGAGAAGATATCAGTGTTCCCACCGAGTGTATATAAGAGAAGCTTGAGTCAACAGCTTCGCCAATCAGCTGATTCCAGTGCCGCGTTCCAAAGTTCACTTTCACCCAGCCCAGCGAGCTATCACACATCGATGTCCCCGGCGCCATGCCGAAGGGAAAAGACTTATATCATTTCGGCTTCTCCTACTCTTTTTTCGGTCTATATATATCGCAAAAGTTCTACTCCTATCACCAAACATCTAGCGATAGCTGAGCGGTCTGGGGTCCTGCGTCGGGATTAAAAGATGCGCTTTCTCGGACGTCGGTGACCCTATCAATGGGTGGGCGGTACTTTTTTGGTCCTGGGTTCGAATCGGGGTTGCAGGCCCTTCTCTTTTGCTTTCTTGCTCTTACGTCTTTTCGTTTGTTTCCCTGTTTGCACTTTTTGTGCAAGGGCTGCTAGAAACAGACCATATGGGGTATTCTACCATGATCTAGGTCCTTTCTAAGGCGTCAAGCTGGTAAGCGGTAAGCAGCCTTTCACTGTACGCGGCATCCACCGCTCTTTCCTCATACGGAAACTGAAGTGTACTCTCACTCTCCCACACCGCCGCTCTCTGGCTGCCTCTATATAGACCCACTATTCCTTCCTCTTCTTCTCTCCCCCAACTTCCTCCTCTTTCCAACCACAACCACACACCACAGACAACCACACTCTACAGACAACCTTTCAAGGCGTACTCGCCCAATAACAAACACATCCACCACTCAATCATGCGCGTCATCGCTCTCCTCGCTCTTGCAGCTAGCGCGGTCGCCGTAGCGGTGCCGGTCGAGCAAGCTCACTCCACTGTCGCCACGGCCCTCGACGCTGCGAGCACTCATGCCGTCGACCTCATCTCCACCGAGCTGGCCAAGCTGTCGCGCGACTACCCCCAGTCAAACGCCATCACCAACATCGACAACCTCGACTCTACCCAACTCCCGCCCAATCCCGACTCTTCCTCCATCGAGCAGCTCGCCCACGCCAACGACGAACCCGTCTGCGGCACCGCCTTCTCCATGATTCAAAACAAGTGGCTCTCCCTCCCCATGCACAAGGGTTATACCTGCCACAACGTCATGATGAAGATCACCATGTACTACAACACCGACTGTGGCGTTTGCCGGTGGTGGTCGTAAGTACTCCATTCGCAACTGGTTCTGTAGGGAGTGAACACAAAGCTAACTCGGAGACAGGAACTTCAATTGCGAGGGTGAAGTCACGGCGAGTGCGCACGGCGGAGGATTACATTCGATCAAGCCGAGTTCGAGTTATCGGTGCATGGTGTTATAGGCGGGGCTTCTAACGGGAGGAGATGATGCTGAGGCATAGGAGGCTGTGCTGATTGCACGGATGGGCTCCAGGGATAGCGATGGGCGTATGTGGAGCAAGATATACTCGGGCTATATCCAATCGGGTATACTCAAGCTATATCCAATCAGGAAAGCAAGTATGGTTCACGACAGAACTATATAGAAATGGAACTGGAAGTTCAATCACTCTCACCTCTTCTCTCGTCGAAGTGACCTTGTATGTCTTTCATTAAAGCGGTACACACTCCGCACAGAAAACGTAAGTCCATCCTCAATCGGAATTTACATGTTCCGCCACACCACGCTCGTGGATCGCATAACTCGTTCCCAGGGCATGCCGCTTGCTAAATGGTATACAACACCATCTTCAAAACCACGGGCTATCGATGCAGTTCCACAGTACATCCACCCTACCGCCCGCTCATTCAGTAACTCCTAGGCAGGCCCAACACCTTCTCCGACATAAAGTTCAACACCATCTCCCTACTCACCGGCGCAATTCGCGGGACGAAGCATTCCCTCAACCACCTCTCTACATCATACTCGGCCGCATACCCCATCCCTCCATGCGTCAGCACCGCCCTCTCGCACGCAGTAAACGCCGCCTCAGCTGCGACGTACTTTGCGCTGTTCGCTGCGATGCCCACGGCGTCCTGCTTGATACTCGGATCGGTGGTCGACGCATCGTACAACTGTGCTGCATGGTACGTCGCCAACTTCGCGGCTTCGAGCTTCATGTACGCGTCCGCAAGCGGGTGGGCAATCCCCTGGTTCATGCCGATGGGCCGTTCAAACACCACCCTCTCCCTCGCATACTTTGCCGCGCGGTTAAGCGCTGCATAGCCCAGTCCCAGCGCCTCACCAGCTAGCAAGCACCGCTCTGCATTCATGCCATGGAGGATGATCTTGAACCCCTGACCTTCCTCGCCGATGAGGGCGGACGAGGGAACGACGTAATTGTCGAAGAAGACCTCATTCGCATCGACAGCCCGACCTCCCATCTTCCGAATCTTCCTCATACTGAGGCCTGGCGAGTTCCGGTCGAGATCAATACAAAACAGACTCAGCGCCTCGGACGGCTTCCCCACCTCCTCCCTCGCCTTCGTCCTCGCCAGCAAAATCATCTTCCTCGCTACCTGCGCACACGTAATCCATATCTTCTGCCCGGAAATCGCATACGCGCTCCCATCCTGGGTCCTCGTCGCCGTCGTACTCAGCCTCAACGTATCCAACCCCGCATTCGGTTCCGTAACCCCAAAACACGTCCTCCACGTCCCGTCGACGATGCGCGGGATCGTCTCCTCGACCTGCTCCCTGCGCCCAAACTTGGCCAGCGGCTGCGTCGCGTACACGTTTGCGTGGATGGCCTGCGCGCCCGCCATACCCGCCCCGGATTCCGCTATCGTCTGCATCATGATGGTCGCCTCGGAGATGCCGAGCCCGGACCCGCCGAGTGATTCCGGTAATGCGATCCCCAGCCAGCCGTCGGCGGCGAGGGCGGCGTGGAAGTCTGTTGGGTCGGTTTCGGTCGCGTCGTGGTGTTGCCAGTAGGACGGGGGGAACTTGGAGCACAGGGTCGCGATTGCGGAGCGGACGGTGAGTTGGGTTTCGGTGAAGTTGGTCGTGTCCATCAGGCTGTCGAAGCGGCGGGCGGGGGTGGAGGAGAAGGCGAGGGATTGCACATGGTGTGGTGGTTGGATGGGATGTTTATGGTGAACATGACGCTGGGAATGCCGCCAGAAGCGCGAGGTGAATTGGAGGCGGGCGCTGGAGAGTGGGCGCAACATTCTGCAAGGAAGGACGTTGGGGAGGTGCCATTGTGGGAGACGAGTCGCTGACGATATTTACGGTCCAGGTGAATGCGACGTTGAAAGTGTATAGCCGACCTCGGGAATAGAGGTGGTGAGGGGCTTGGCGTATGCGGGGAACGTATCGACGGTCATGCCCCTTTTTTGATTAGTCAGAAAATGGGAGTGAAGAAAGTAAAACGGTCTACTGCTAAAACGGCTGTATTCTACGTAGCTGTAGGATGTAGGTCTCTTGAAACTCATAAGTACCTCTGTCCTTTCAGATGGGAAATTCAGCATAGGATATATGCTAGGTTGAGGCGTCACTCTCATATCAGCCGGGCGTCACAGTCCAGATTGAGCTGCTGCTGTTTGGCAGTTGGATCATCGAGATATATCCGATATCATGCACTTCGTGATCCCCTACCCAATTGTGCCATACGTGCATGCAACGATTACGATGAGTATCCCAAGCCCTGTGTCCCTCCTACACTATTTCCCTTCGAACATTAACCCAGGCTTGTTACATCCACGTGTCCATCTAAAGCTCTTCTCACCTCCTCCCACTATTGAGCTCTAATAATCCCATCGCCGCCCTCCCCTTCACGACGCTACTCGTCAACTCCCCTCCCCCAGCCCTCCGCTCCTCCTTATCATCTCCGTCGTCTTCATCACCATACTCATCTTCGCGAATCCGCCTCATAGCAGGAGTCCTGTAGATCGGCCTCGTAGGCGACATGACTTGCTCTGGACTTACGCATTTCGGTAGTACGTCGTGTGTCGGCGGCGATGACGGAACATTGGCGTGGTAATCGTATATCATGCGGGAAGAGTACGCTGTAGGGAGAAGGATAGGGGCTGCGGAGAGCTTCGCGACAGGTCGTCCGGGATCGAGGTTCGCCTTTACGTGAAGGGGCGATGATGGTTTAGGCTGATTCTGCCGTGCTGGAGAGACGGTGATGCTTGGGATGCCCGGTGCTGTTACTGTTGTTGTGGGCGTGATGGTACTCGTTGATGAGACGGGACACTCCGTTTCGACCTCCACGTCCCATGTTGACAGGATTTCCTTGCTGGGTTTAGAAATTTGATTCGTCTTGACCTTGTAGGTTGCGAATCCGAGCCGTAGACGTAGTAAGTCCGCCTTAGATGGTTCCTTCGTCTCGGGTGCCGTCTCTACAACAGCCGCATCAGTAGGCTGGCTCGCACATTCCCCCCAATCCACAAGGTTGGAGAAACTCCGGTTAGTATCTGCAGTTTCCTGACTGGGCTGCTCCATAGATGGCGGTGATTCGGGCTCCGTTGTTGATCCTCGAGAATCGCGACGGTTCTGGCACTCATATCAGTGTTGTTGCCAGGACGCGCGCCACGGCAAGACACAGCGTAAATAGTAAACATACAGCCAGTTCCAAGTTTGGCGTTGTCTCTGCCAAGACGCGCACTTTGCTCGTCATCGGAAATGCTTCATTGCGAACTCCCGTGGGCATGATCGTCGTTCCCCCACACGCGACGTATCCGGTGCCCTCGACTTCGTCGATACTACGTTTCCTCCCAATCGCCTTTCCCGCGTTTCCTGATAAAGCATTCTCTTTATCCTCCAAGCCAAGCGGGGAGTACGTCTGCGCTTGCTTCAAGGGGCTTCGCGCACGTTGTTCCTCGAAGAGTCGACCATTGTTTGTTTGTTTTGATGGCGTGTTTACCGCTCGTGCTGTGACGTCTCCGAGGACGCGTCGGCCTGGCGAGGCTAGAGGTGTGTTATTCGCGGACATACTAGGTCTGCGAGGCGTTGAGGCGCTCATCACGAGTGGTTACGACTCTAATGGAGAGACACGCGTTTGAGACAAGGACGAATGGCGCTCGCGGTGGGATTGCGGATGGACGACAGGAGCAGGAAAAACGAGGGTAGGCAGAGAGATGATGGACTGACCAGGCTGCGCACTGTACGCGCCAAAAGGTCAAAATAATGTTGGGAAGATGGTGGTGTTGTTGTTTTCGTGTCTTGGTCGCGTGTGGGGTGGATGTCCAAAGTATATCTATGTTGCTGGTGCCCGTCCAGACTAGCTTCTGATTGGCCGACAATTGCAGGGTCCAAGCTATTTTAGCGTGAACCCCAAGTTTTCTGATCTCTTTTAATCTCTTCGTTAACTCTGTCCGCTGCATCCCAAATCATCGAAATGAAGACACTTCCATTCAGTTTACTATGCGCAGTAAAAGACGTTAACTGTTACGATCCAGTAGAAACCTCCCAGTACAATCAATCCTATCACTCTTTTCAGTAATTCTGCCGTCAGCTAGAGCTCAGTAAATCTTTTCAACTATGAGGTACAATATACCTGAGCAGGAAAACGATATCACCTGTGGAGTCGTTCAGTAACTCTACGGGTAGATTTCTGGCCGGAAAGCGGTGCATACGTACGACTGTGTGCACCAGGCTGCACTACATTGACGAATCTCAAGAGCACGCATGACCTCTGCATATATCATGTGTCTCTCGTGTTGCACGTTGTGAGACCGGATTGAGAGGGGCTGTGAGAGGTTGCGAAACGTCGTACTAACCTCGTCGAGGTGGTGATTCTAACGTAAATGTCGGCTGGCTTCCCATGGTCCACTTCATTTCTGTCTTACACGTCCCATCAGCGTCCGTTGCCTGCAGTATCCGAATACCATGCGGCCTTGGGATCCCATATTCGTAGTCAGACTGAAACGGCAAGCGAGTACTTTGACCCAAGCGTGTTCCAGATAGTCCGAGGGAAGGTCTTGCACGACAACAATCGGGAAGAGATGGATCTGAATGGGTCCGGCGATGAAGACAACACAGAAAAATGGGTCCGCGGAAGCTATGAGGGGGACTTGGAAGACAAAGAAAGTCAGGGGAAACGAAAACGTCAGCGCATATCCCAGGAACGGCTTGAGTGTCTGGAAAAGGCCACCCGCGTCTCCTATCCGCAAGACGTTGTCGATATCCTTATGTTACCGATTAGTGAACGGTCACTGCCCCAGAACATGAGAATTCTGATCACCCGGATTTTATGGGGTTTGAAACCATATCCGCTACCCGATGTGACGGACTACGAGTCACGATGTGAATGCCACTTCATGGTCTACTTAGATCATGTGGGAGCTCTAGAATACCAGTGTAGGAAACACTTCGGACTGGATGGGCAATGGACGCATCTCGATATTCTGTATGTCATCACTCAATTTTACGGGCCACCGTTCAAGCGGATAGCAGAAATCGATTTTCCGTGCCCATGTACTCGCGAGGATTTCCGAAGGCTGCTGATTGCGCACTTCACCCTCATGCATACCATGACCAATCTTCAAGTTTCGGAGGGTGATGATGGCCTCAAAGTTCTGCTATCGAAGCGATTTCCTCGGGCTCCGCCTTCGAATATCCGTATCAAACTGGGCAAATGGGTCCGCGCAAGAGACTTTGAAGTCGCCAATTTGCGGATTGAGTGGACCGACGATCTAGCTGAGCATTTACAGCTCGTTGATAATACCACCATCCGCATCTTTCATCATATCTCTTTCTTGTTCGGCTCAAAAGTGTGAGTTCCCTCAAGGCCACCGAAGTCGCAAGCTTGCTTACTTTCATCCGTAGAAGCCAGAATGTCTATCCAGCGGGATTGCGCCATGAAACAATGTGGACGCTGGCCTTGTTATTTCCGCGATCCGACCGGAAAACGCAAGAATGGCTAGAATATAAACGTATGGAAAATGGCGGAGTGCACCCAGACGTTAAGTTGCAATCGGTATTGTTGGATTTTGCTGCACCAAAACATCTGCAACACTATCCCTTCTGGCGCGAACGTTTGATTCTATTGAGAAAGCACATAGACCGTGCTTCACCCCATCAAAAACATTCACGAGACTTTTCAAAGACTCCCGTAACGTGGACCAATGGTTCAACTCCTGGGTTGCGGTAGTTGTCATTGGCCTAACGCTTTTCTTCGGTTTGGTGCAAAGCATCGAAGGCGCCATTCAAGTATACAAGGCGTATCATCCGGTCGATGGCAGTTAGTGTCGCGATCTGTTGCAGTCATCATTGGAATTGCAGACGTGCGAGCTTTTCAGTTAGATAAGTCATTAGCATCTGTGTATTAAGTCATTCCAATTTGCTAGTGCAACGGGGACTAGTATGTACATCTGTTTATTAGTCTGCTTGTAACCGACATTGCGCGTTAGGGCCGATATGCGATGCAAGTTCATCTAAGTTCATTCTATATAGCACATCGCTCGCTTCAAAGTAGCTAAAACCAGCAGAAGATCTTTATGTTTAGATCATACATCTACTGAGGCATAGTCGATATAGCCTCTTAGATCCACCCTACGGCTACATACCCATATTCCGTGCTCAGGGATCAATGTCAGATCTCAGCAACGTTTCCATACCATCCGTTCCTGGTGGCAATACATGAAACGGATCTCCTCTCGGGCTAAGTCTCAATATCAACTATATGACTAGTTGCAGAGAGGACAATGTATTTAAAATAGTCTTTCTCCATCTATCAGATATCTGATTCTGTACCAATACAATGTCTCTGGCTGTGCCAGGGCAACTGGGAAAAACAAAGTGCCTGAAACGCCGCCCAATGCTAGATGCAGACTTGAAGTCGGGGGTATCACAAAGCTAGAAAACATCGTCCATATTAACGTCCTTCCCACCCAGGGCAGCTGTCGCCGCCGACCGCGTGCCAGTATTCGCATCACCAGAAAGTCCCTTTGCCCGAGCCTCGATTTCATCTTCAACAAAGACACCGAACCCGCTAAAGGCATCGCAGAGTGCCCTAGAGTAGAAATCGCGCATATCGTAACCTCCAGCAGTGGCGACGGGGTCGTTCTTCGTCTGCGTGAGCCATTCAACGTCATAATCGTCTTGTACGACGTAGAACTGCGGTTCGATAGCCCAACCATCGAAGGGATCCAGTGGCTTTTCCGGTGCCGGAGGGACGTATTTCTTCAGGCCGTGGAAGTTAAATCCTTTTTCTACTTCACCGTCCTGGGGGTTCGCTCTCGAATCAGGTGTATTTGCTGCGGAGGTGGCTACAGCCTTTCGCTGACTGGCCCCCTTCTTTAGGACTACCTGCGCCTTTTCTGAAGGAAGGGAAGGATCAGGCTGGTATGGACGCGCGGTGATATTGCGCTCCGCCTTCTGTGCTTCCTCGTATAGCCGCAGTCGTTTCTCTGTCGCCTCGACATCGATCTTGAGAATCAGGTTCCATGTTATCTCTTCAACGGTCTCCAGGTAGTCGTTGTAATCCCGCAGTGTCTCGAAGTCCGCCTCCGTCTTGTTGAGTCTAAACGCCACACAGTCAGGATTTGTTCGTTGCGTAAAAGCTGACATGAACTTACACTCTGGCTACTCGGCGTCTGATATCCACCTCCCTCTCCACTTTGAGATCCTCAAACGTCTGCGTCCTGAACTTCGCCTTCCGTAACGTCCTCTTGCACCCAGCAATCGGGCATGGAGCCGGCCCATGCGAAAAGATTCTGTCCACACAGGACTCGCACATCTTGTGATAGCACTCGGGGTTCACTAGAAAGCGCATATTGGGGTTCAGGTAACGCGACGATTTGCAGACGGGGCAGATGGCTGAGGAAGGGTCAGCGTGCCGCTTGGAGGGACTTGCTTGCTGCAAGGAAAGACTGTGCAGAGATTTAGATAAAGGTGACGCACCCTCATCTTTCGCGGCGCCGCCGCCAGGCACACGGGAAGCGGCCTTCGACATGTCGGCGACGCAGCACAGGTAGTGTTGGAGCGAAGTTGTGGTGGAGGCTTGAGTTTATGAACACAGGCTGTGATGACTAATGCGCGGTGGTTGGGCTTGCAGCGAACAATAGATTCGCCACATCGACGAAAAACTGCTATTATATGTTGTTTGAAGAGTAGAGGAAGCAAACTTGCAGCAGCTGGGTACATACAATCTGTATGAGTGACGGTAAGGGATTGTTCATTCTGGATACAGTTTAGCCTTTTGCCAAGATTCTACGACGCCTCGCGGGCACCGACCTGGCCCCCAACCAAATCTTTTCCTCGCGCTTCTCCTCAACCGTCACCCACCACGATTCGAGCCAAGATGGACGCACCACAGGAGAACGCCATGGCAAATATTGAGCGCCGCCGGATGCAGCTTGAAGAAAATGTCTCCAAGCTCCGCAACGCTCTGAAGCATTGGCGGACGTGGGAGTTTGAATATGAAATGCTGAAAGAAGAGATTCAAGCCGCTGATAACCCCTCTCCTGACAAGATGGTCGAGATTGGCCGCAGTTTGAGCGCCAGCCTTCTTGACGAGAAGGAGATCCTGCAGCTCGTTGGGAAAGACCAGACGAAACGCACTGCTAACCAAGTCATTGACATGATGTCAAGGCGAGTTGACTATGTCCAGCAGAACATAACCACGGTCGCGAAGCAACTCGATGCAGCGGAGAAACGGCTTGCCGGCACGTCGGTACTACTAGAGCCCGATCTGGAGAACGAAGAAGGCTTACCGTTAATGGACATTCAGGAAGAGCTTGACGAAGAGGGAAACGTTATATCGAGCTCGGTATTACAGCCAGGAAAATCCGCTCCTGAAATCGTGGACGCGTTGCGAAAGGCTGGTATACAGAAGCTTGGAAAACAGGGTGCCGCCGAATCCGAAGAGAAGAAGGACCCTCCCTCATCGAACCAGAAAGACAATGTGTTGACGAAGGAGGAAGACACAAAGCATCTCCAAACATCAGACAATGCTCCAATAAAGTCCGAATCCACCGCTGGGCAGCCTGCACCTGCCAAAAAGTCCGTGTCCTTCTCTGAAGATACGAAGCCCGAAGCAGTACCGGAAGGGCAATCAGCTCTCGAAAGGACTGGCTATAACGATGAGTTGGCGGATTACAATTTCACGAAAGGCACAAGAGTCATCGAGGTCGACGAAGATGACAATGAAATAGCATCTTATCCCATCATCCCACAGGGCGAGAGTCCAGAAGATGCGGAGTTGCGGAGACAAATGCTCCAGTACGGGCTTTCAGAAGTCGGGCGAGTAGTGGCCGAGATTGACCTTGACGGCCCCGATGAAGGTTACTCTGACGAGATGGAAGATTATGACTCTGACGAAGACGAGAGTGAGCTGGAAGATGAATATGGGCGAAGCCTAAAACGAGAGATTACGGACGAATACCGGGCTAAAATGCTCGAACTCGAAAGGAAGCTCAATGCCCGGATGTTGGAAAATGTTGGACCTCGCCCAGACACTCATCCTTTGGCAGAGTTCTCCGATGATGTTCGCACTGTGAAGATAAGGAATGACGCAGAGTTTGACGAGTCTATGTCGAAGGAGAATACTTCAGAGGCTGCCTCTCAGAAGAAAGGAGTTCGGTTCGCTGATCACGTGGATATTGCGCCTGTGTCTCCACCAGGCAAGGATCAGATCGACAATCCCGAACCAGGTCGGCCGGCAGCCCCTACAATTTCCGATACTATTGTGGAGAGGACTGGCCCAGCAGCGGAGCAGCCAAGTGCTGGGTCACCCAAACCAGCAAAGGTATCCCGGTTCAGGAGCGCGCGTGCAGCAACCACCCAGTCTAGCATGAAGATGCTGCCCACTCCATCAGTACCGGAGCCGTTACCTGTCCCTCAGGGTCCAAAAGGGCAAACACTTGCCAGTACCATCGTAGAGCATGATCATCAAGCCTCCGAACCCCATGTTCCGGATGAGTTCGACCCTGTCGTAGTGAACCGTGAGATACAAATACAGTACCACAAGATGCGGAACAGGATGATCCAACAACAAGGCGGTTTCAAGCCTACACAGGAGGAGGAGGACTATCCCCTTATCGAAGAGCAGGACGGGAAAACGAAGAAGGTGAGCCGGTTCAGAGCGGCGCGGCTCAAAGCGGACGGTTTGTAAAATATATGATGCTGGTCTCCTTTGAATCTCTTGTTCTACTTCTTCAGTTGTCTCAGTTTTCACCGTCATCTACTTATCGGTGCAGCGACGTGTAGTGGTCATTCATCGGAACATCTTATGCCCGTGGGAGATACTTAACCATGTATCTACGCTCACATTTTATATGTTCCCAGATGGAAGTCTAGCTGGGTTCTCTGACGTTGCAAGCTTGGCAACTTCATGCTTGTTACGATTTTAAAAACCCTGCACATTCCACTGTTTCGTTCTAGTATCCTCCGGACTTCGCCATCAACAATCTGTTGTGAGCAGTCTCAGGCACGCAGTAGTTCGATAACTTCTGATAACCTGTCGCAGACTCTGGCATCGTGTATAAGATAATATGTAGATATTAAACTTCTGCGCTTTTCGACATACACATGCAATAGTGGACCTCATCACAACCCCGCTTATCTGATCTATGAAATCATAGCGTCGCGAAATCATTCTTCCGCCCGAGGGAACCCCGCCAAGTGCCCTTCAACTTATGGGTACAACTTTATCACAGTCCGCGTTCTCACCAACCCTGGGATAAATACGCCCTTCTGAACGTCTGCTTTAACTTTCGCCCGATCCGCACATATTCCCATATGCCCGGCAGGCTTCAGAAATGGCAGAAGCAGAGAAGGAGGAGAAGCCGAAGGCAAAACCCTGGCTCACGCGCTTAAGGCTTGCACTCGGTCCTTATACTGTCCACTTCAAGAACCCGGGGTACATTAAAGAGGAGACTCTGCGTATGCTTATGTTTGATGTGTGCAAGAAAATCCTGGAAGAGACGCGCAGGAACTTTGAGCTTCGGTATGTAGCGGGTATGTTGCATGACTCTGCTAAGCAATTGACAATTCTCCTAGTGAAGAACTTGGCCTCTCCCACGAGTTTTGGGACGATCTGTCGCAAGTACTGAAAGCCGCTATACCGTCCCTCGAACGTCGTTGTTTTGCGGCCCCCGACCCAGCTACACCGGAATATGAGGGGCTATGCGGACCGCTCATCGCCTCCTGTTCGACAAGTCTGTTGAAGGATCTGGAAAGGTTGAATCAGCTTGTGGCGATTGCTCGCAATGTGTTGACTTGTGGAGAGAAGGCGCAGAACCTGGCAGCGGCGCGACTATTCGACAAGGACATCTTCGCCTTGATCAACGTCTGTGTACGAGTGACAGCCAGAGGATACGATGGAGAAGCAGGCACGCAGGAGGAGGGGAAATGGCAGGATGTTATCAATGCTTGTGAGGCATTCTCTGTGCATACCTTACCGGTATATACTGACATCCGATGTGCAGACAAAAAGCTTCTCATCACCTGCCTCCAGTTCCTGAACAACTTGGTGTCGCGGAACGAGCAAAGGAAGCTCATGCTATGGATCGAGCTCTTCGACAGTCACTTAGACAACGACCTCCCAAATTTCGCGGATATGAAATACAAAATGGTCGAAGACACACAGGCGGACACAGACTCGGCACCCAAAGTCGAGGTTCCGCCGCCTGCGCGCAAGACCCCATACGGACCTGATGCTTTCAAGATTCCTCAACAACCGGCTTCGTCTCCGTTCCTTCTCTACATAGGCGAGATTGGACATGAAGTCAAAAAGTCGCTCGCCCAGCAAGGCGAAAAGACGGGTGCAACGGAGATTGCGGCTGAATGCAGAAGACGGTGGCTAACCATGCCAGAAGAGGAGAAGAACGTGAGTATTCACTCGAAGAGCATCCGCAATCCCGGCTAACATGTGTAGAAATGGAATATGCTGTATGCGGACGTCGTTGCCAGATATCGTGACGAGATCACCCAGTCCAGCGTGTACAAGAAGGTCTCAGATCGACAGACTACGGGTTCAGAAAGTGATCGGAGGAGCGAGGATCGCAGCCAAGCTCTCGCGGACGACCTAAGCCAGCTTCAGCACGAAGTCGATCAGGCTCCAGGTGCGCCATCTTCCGAGGCTTCCCGACAAGACCCGCCGGCCACTGGCGGGGAGCAAGGGAAGCAGCCACCACGGCCTATACAGACTGATAGCACATGGGATTCGGGTGCCTGGCGACGGTCTCCGGCAGGTGAGAGCGATTTCCGCGTGACCTACCCGCCATCATTTGGAGCCGAGATCCTTCGGAGTGGGAAGGAAGACCTGTTGAAGCGTCTCGAACCCGATTCGGATCGTCCTGGAGGTCCGCTAACATCTGACGTAGCCTCCCCGAGCTCCCCTCCCCCCGAGGAGGATGACAATGATGATGACTATGATGACATCCCTGGTGATGAGAGCCGCGGCTTGCTCACCGACGTACCTTTGATTCTTGGTCCTACCGAGATCGAAGTGCTGCCGATGATCATCATGGGAGGCATTGTCGAGCCTGCGGAAGGGCAGCCAGGATGGCACCCTGATCCAGTGGTGATGAGTAGCATCAGAAGCATGCATGGGGTGCGGTGCCATCTCCTGCTTGCGCAGGATAATGGTCGTAACCTTTTGCGAGAGCTTCTCATCTTTGTCGCTGCCTGGGACCTGCGGGAGGATGAACTGTACTTCAAATTCATGGTCAAGATTATGGAAGCAATACTTGCCAACCAGCTACTGCCCTTCGCCTATCATGCTTTCAGGGAATCTGAGTAAGTCTCTTGAAATCTTGCAAAGTCTTTACTGATGGATGTAGTAGGTCCAAAGATATCATTTCCCCCGCACAAGCCGTCATCATGAAACTACTCACCATCATCTTCAAACAGCGTCAAGCGCAGGCTACCTCAACGGGGCAGCCAGGCAGCCCACCACAAGTGAATCAGGGCGATGCACACATGGTCAACTTCCTCCTGACCGAGTTTCGAAGACATATTATCCCACAGACGTGCGCCCTCATTTTCCTGCAAGGGCAGATAAGAGCTGGTCACGCACAGCCTGAGGATTTCCCGTTGAACCTCTGGGATATGGAGCGCATGTATGAAGGCGTGTACCAGTATCTCGAATTCTTTGCCATCCTAACAGAGCACTCGGTCTGGAAAAAGATGCTGAGCGATTGGGAGATATCGACTGAGCTTGTCACGCTTCTGAAAGAACTTGATGCCGCCATCCCCAAGGGCCAACTGTCTGTTCCTCCCCTTACTGCAGCTGCTCGAGCTCCTGCACCGCCATCGCAGCATCCAAACCCACCACAACCCCAGCAGCAACAGCAGCCGGCTGATACTGAGCCCTCTCAGCCCGTTATCGTGGAGCGGCCGTATGATGTTGCTCCTGGCGGCACAACCCAAGAAGGATACATACCTTCACCTCGACTCTACATTGACGAGGCGCCAGATGAGCCTTCCGACTTCGAATGGCGGAATCTCAAGAAGCTCGCGGTCCTTGTCCTATCGTCGCTTGTGTGGAAGAATCGCCAAGTGCAAGATCAGGTCAGACCCCTTGGCGGTATCGAAGCCGTCCTCAACTGCTGCAGCTACGACGAGCACAACCCATACATAAGGGAACACGCTATCATGTGTTTGCGCTTTCTCATGGAAGGTAACAAGGAGAATCAGGACAGGATTAGAGCACTAGAGAGATATGTGGAGGAAAATAAGGCCGCCTCTGCATCTAATTCTGCACAGCCGCCTGCGCCGCGAGTACAAGTGCCTAACGAAGTGCTAGACCAGCAGGGGTATGAAACCTACATGGACAGCAAAGGTCAAGTCATGCTGAGGAAGAGGGAGGTCAAGCCCCCTATTGCACCAGCGCCTGCAAAGGGAAAAGCAAAGCTGGACTCACGAGATCCGAAAGATCTCGAACGCCTCGTGCAGCAGGTAATGAGTGAGTTACCAAAGGTGCAGGGTGTGAGGCATGATGCTGAGCAGGCGGCGGCATTGGCGAAGCTGGACAAACGATTTGGTGTCGATTGATTGAAAGGGTTCAGGAGAGATCCGGTCATGTAAAATCAACGACTCATGAATATAAAACTCAAGAAGTGCATAACTACCCTCAATTGGCCATGATTCTAGCGCTGGTGACAGATTGTCGAGTACGTTGACTACGTTGAACTATGTTGACGGAAGACGCATAATCTCCGTTACGAGTTACAAACATTGTTGGATCTTCTTAGTGTACTAGGGACAACTATAAATGTGTTTCCTATTTGTAAAGTTGGTCAAGTTAGCAAGCTAAACCTACGGAGCCAGTTTACAGCACCTCGTCCAATCTCAGCTAACATTTGGAAAAGGATTTTGAAGGTTTGGACTGCCGCTTCTTCTGTCACATAGACGATATGCTCTGAAGCACCTTACACGAGAGTAAGAAAGCTCCGTGGGAGGTAAGAGTGGTAAGAGTGGTAAAATGCAACTAAAAAGCAAAAAGAAGGAAAACAATAGCTGAAACTGGTTTCGATCCAGTGTCCTCCGGGTTATGAGCCCGGCGCGCTTCCGCTGCGCCATTCAGCTTTGGATATGTTTCCATGGGGAATTTCTTATTTCAAAGTGATTATATACCCACTCAAAATTTCACATCAATGGCTAGAAAAGACATTGAAAATGCTTGCACTGCGACGAGGTAACGTAGACTCGCGATGGGGTTGAGCTCTTGCCCGATGACTCATAACGTCGTTTTCGTGGAGTGGAGCCATAGCGCCTTCTCGTGGACCTTGCATCGGACAACCCGAACGCCAAACGCCACGCAACCAGAATGCATGCAGCAACTCGACTGATTTCTTAAAAACCTCCGTAACTCATACCATCTACATTAAACCGTTGTCATCCTCACCCGCTCAAATGGCCAGCCGCACCCCGGTACTGCGTATCGTCATACGGCATATCGGCATCCAAGGCAGTATATCCTGCCCCACCCGTCTGCTGACGTCTGGCCATCGGATTCGGGTTTGCTTCTTCAGCTTCTTGGGGCAAATGCTGTGAGGGCGCGTGTTTATTATCAACGGGTTGGAGAGCGGTGAATTTGCCTCGCTGAGTAGTTTTACGCTGGACGTGGATGTCGAGGAGGAGAGCGAGGAGGCTGGAGATGCTGTGGGATGATAAGTACGCCGTACCAAGCCACTTGAGTGCCCAGAGGGGAGGAATATGGGAGACGTACACGCCGAAGAGGGAAAAGGAGAAGAGCGCTTTGTATATGCGACAGATCATAATGCCGGTATTGTCGTCCCAGGTTTTGACATTGCAGACATGAGCGAGTGTGCCGGAGGTCCACCTGGTTAGGAGGGAAAAGCCGAGGGCCCATAGTACGAACAGGATGCTGTTGAGGGCGATGTTGAAGAGAGGATTTAGACCGTGAAAGCAGTGGAGGAAGGTCGTTGCCGAGAGGAACAGGAGTGTCAACAAGGCGACTGTGAGAAGCTTGATGATGTTAGTCAAGTTCTTGACGACCACATAAAGGAGGCATGCAGCGTGGAGATGCGCACCAAGATGAACGTCCAAGGAAGCCGGTAGTTGTCGTGATGTAGCTGCCACAAGAAGTAGGACAGTATGCTCGCCACTACTACCGCCGAGATGAGCTGTGCGCTGCGGACGATGTGGAATATAAGCACAGGATAGCTTGTTGGTTTTACGCGGTCTTTGCGTGGTATCATGGTGGGCGAGGTTGGGGTGTGAAGCTGTTCGGGGATCGTGAGTTAGGAGACGATATGACGGCAACGATACAAGCTCAAATCTCGGGAACGGACGTGTGTGAGAAGAGCAAGTTAGCCAGTGAAAAGGAGAAGTGCATTTGGATCAAGAAACGCGGTTTTGGGGAGAGATAGGGTCGCTTCTGCTGTTCAGCTGGATGCTTCAGCTCCTCGCTAGGCGTCGCGACTAGTAGGCACGTGGCGGCTACATCTCTCCTGAACATATCGTCCAAAGCATGTATCTTGATACTTGCTGAAGTATAGAAAGTAGTTTCAATGGTTTCTCTAACCCTTCTATATGTGAGCTGATGTTGGAGCTTCCCCGCAAGCGTTGATCCGCAAACCCTGACCCGCGAGACTGGTTCACACCTGATGAAAGGATTATCTAGCCGAAAATGGCTAGCGGTCTTATATCTATTAGATGCAAAAATGCTGCGAGTTCTTGGCGCATCTCTCTCCGCATTTTCTCCACCTTCCTAGAAGTAACTTTATTATAACAGAAGGAAAACGTCTATAACTTATAAGATAGTAATTTTTATAACGTACCTCACGGGCGAGCTGATCACACGGGCGAGCTGATCACATGGGCGAGCTGATCACTATGCCAAGACCCTACCAAAATGTACCATCAACACAATATAATCACGATGTCTCAACCACCTAACAAGCTACCAGAATCTAAAGAAGCTCGACTATAGCTTGCACTTTGCGCTATCAAACAAGACACGATACTATCCCAACGACATGCTGCAGCTATCTACAACATCCCTCAAAGTACACTAAGCACCCGATACACTGGAATCAGTTTTCGATGCGACTGTACGCTCAACTCAATGAAGCTCCTTCCGACAGAGGAGCAGGTGATTGTTCAGTATATACTGGACCTAGATGCATGAGGATTTCCACCCCGGCTTGCTGCTGTTAAAGATATGGCTGATTCCTTGCTGGCTGAGCGCCACCAAGATCCAGTCAGCCAGAACTGGGCTGCAACCTTTGTCAAGCACCAGCCAGAGCTTAAAATTAAGTTCAATCGAAAGTACCACTATAAAAGAGCTCTCTGTGAGGATCCCAAGGTTATACAAGGCTGGTTCCAGCTTGTAGAGAATACCAAAGTGAAGTACGGTATCCTAGATGATGATACCTATAACTTTGATGAGTCTGGCTTTATGATAGACATGATATCAACTGGAGCAGTTGTTACAGGCTCTGGATATCGAGGCAGGCCAAAGAGCATACAGCAGGGCAACTAGGAGTGGACGACAGTCATTCAGGGTATCAACGCAATGGGTTGGGCGATCCCACCCTTTATCATCTTCCAGGGCAAGCACCACCTCTCTGCCTGGTATATGGAGGAGGATCTACCTCAAGATTGGGTTATCGGAGTCTCTGAGAATGGCTGGACAACAAATGAGCTTGGTCTGCAGTGGCTAAAGCACTTTGATGAGCATACAAAGTAGCGTACTATTAGTGCAACATGTCTACTTATTCTTGATGGCTATGAGAGCCACGACTCGCTCGAATTCCAGCAGTACTGCAAAGATAACAAGATTATCACTCTCTGTATGCCTCCACACTCATCATACCTCCTACAGCCACTTGATGTCAGGTGTTTCTCGCCCTTGAAGAAAGCATATGGACACCAAGCCGAGGATCTGATGCGTAATCGGATCACCCATATCACTAAGATTGAGTTCCTACCTTGCTTTATTGCTGCTTTTAAGGCTGCAATCACTAAAAGCAATATCCAAGGAGGCTTTAGAGGTGCTGGCTTGGTTCCTTTTAATCTAGAAGTGGTAATATCAAAGCTTGATGTCAAGTTGTGTACACCTTCACCCTCTATCATCAACGAGGACTCCTGGCAGTCATAAACACCAAGCAATCTCCTAGAATTTGGGTCCCAATCGACGCTGATGAAGGAGAGAATTCAGAGACACCTAGATAGCTCACCAACTAGCATGGTTAAGGCCTTTGAGAAGATGGTGAAGGGTGCAGCATTGGTAGCGCACAAGCTGGTATTGGCACAAAAAGAGATTGCTGAGCTTCAAGCAGCAAATGAAGCTGCTACATGATATAAATTATATAAAAGAAAGTGTGTACAGTGTAAAGGAGTACTAACAGCTGAAGAGGGCCTATGGCTAGCTACGCTTAAGGAGTTTGCAGCGTGTGGTGATAGGAAGAAGGTGAAGAAGAGGGTGCATGCTGATGAGGGTGAGCCTACCCAACGACGCTATAGATGTTGCAGCAAGACTGGGCATAACTCGTGAACATGTCAGAAGGAAGCAGAAGTAGGATCTAAATAGATCAGCCTACTATAATTTTTCAAAACTGTTTATCATTGTTTGATATCCTCATGTGTAGTATACATTTTAGTGGGATCTTGGCAGTGATCAGCTCGCCCATGTGATCAGATCGCCCGTGAGGTACGTTACTTATTTATTCTACTATATAAGTCTTAGCTTATTAAATATAATATTAGAGGTGCTAGAGGGGGTAGAGAATATAGGAAGAATTCTGCCAAGCCTCTACGCGATGCGCTCTCGAGCTCGAGCTTAAGCTTGCAGGGCAGCTGCCCTAGAGTCTACTTAAGCTTCTACCTACCTCCTGCGCAATAACTACTATTAAAATTAAGATAAACTACCTCTTATTTATATAAGAAATACTACTAACGTACCTCACGGGCGAGTCGGTCACACAGGCGAGTCGGTCACTATGCCAAGACCCCACCAGAATGTACTCTCACCTCTACTATAATCA